CCTGCCCGGCCAACGCCTCGCCTTCCCCTGTCCCCGCAGACCGAGGGCGTGCGGGTATCGGTGAACGTCCTCTCCGACCACAAGGACCTGCCCGTGCTCTTCGTGGTGAGGCAGAAGGAGGCGGTGGTCTCCTTCCAGGTGCCGCTCATCCTCCGGGGCCTGTGAGTACCAGCGGGTTCCCCACGCAGGGATGGATCCCCGGGCTGGGATCCCCCCGACAGGGTTTCCCCCTGCGAGGGAGGTCAGGCAGCCCCTCCTGCCCCAGGTACCAGCGGAAATACGCGTACCAGGAGGTGAGCCGCACGCTCTGCCAGCCACAGACCAAGACCGAGGTGGAGACCCAGCACTTCTACGTGGATGTCTCCACACTCTCCCTCAATGCCTCCTACCAGCTGCGGGTCACCCGCGTGGAGAACTTCGTGCTGCGGTGAGGGGAGCCCCGAACCACAGACCCGCTGCCTGCCTGCTGCCCGTGGGGGCTGTGGGGGCTACAGGCTCCCCTTGCCACCCATCACCTCTCCGTGCTCTCTCTGCAGGACAAATAAAAGGTTCAGCTTCAACGCCACGGCCTCCCAGCCGCAGGTGAGGGGAGCTGGCACAGTGTGGCACGGGAGGGGGCTGTGCCACATGGCCACAGTGGCAGCAATGGGCCCTTTCTCCCCCGCAGTACTTCAAGTATGAGTTCCCTGAAGGAGTGGACTCGGTGATTGTGAAGGTGACCTCGGCCATGGCCTTCCCCTGCTCTGTCATCTCCATCCAGGACATCCTGGTAGGTTTGGGCAGGGGTCTCGGGGTGATCCGTGGTGCCCGGCGGGGCTGACGGGCCCTCTGCCCCCCCAGTGCCCTGTCTACGACCTGGACAACAACGTGGCCTTCATTGGGATGTACCAGACCATGACGAAGAAGGCGGCCATCACGGTGCAGGTGGGCATGGTGCTGTACCACGGGGCTGTACCACGGTGCTGAGCTGCTCCCAGCCCCTGCCCGGTGCTGCCGGGTACCTCTGGTTGTCAGAGCTCGCAGAGGATATCCCTGGGATAACCTCTGGCATGGGAGACCCCCAGCTGGGCTCTGCTGACCCCCATCTCTCCCCCCTGGGACGGCTGCTGCAGAAGAAGGATTTCCCCAGCCACAGCTTCTACGTGGTGGTGGTGGTGAAGACGGAGGACGAGGCGTGTGGGGGGCCTCTGCCCTACTACCCCCTCTCCAAAAACGCCTCTCCAGGTATGTGGGGGGCTGGAGGAGGCACCCACCCTGCTGCTGTGGGCTGTGTGTGGGGACACACTGGGGATAGGGCAGAGAGCTGAACCCTGGCCATGCCCTCTCCCAGACGAACCTGTGGATCAGCACAACCGGCAGAAGATGCTGGAGGTGATGGTGTCACCTGCCATAACCTGTGAGTCTGGGAGGGGCTGGGTGTGCTGGGGGTGGTGGGCTCTGCAGGGACCCACAACAGGTCCCCAGAGGTGCCACCCCCCCTGAGGGCTTGTTCTGGCTCTGCACAGCGGAGGCCTATGTGAGCAGTGTGCTCTTCTGCCTCAGCATCTTCCTCTCCTTCTACGTCCTCACGCTGCTCATCGCCTGCTGGGAGAGCTGCCGGTGAGTCCCTGGGTGTTGCTGCTCCTCTGGGTGCTGGGCCTACGGGCACCATCCTGTCCCTGATGTGGTGGGGGCCCTCGGGCTGTGCCCCCTCGCCACAGCCGGGCTGATGGCTGCTTCCCTCGGCAGGCAGCACAAGAGGAAGGGGCTCCTGTCAGCCATGGACTCGCCCAGCCTGGACACAGGTGAGGGATGGAGGCAGCAGACACCGGCATGGAGGGATCTGCCTGCGGGATTCCCACTTATTCTGGCCTCTTGAGCCCTGATTCTGCAGGAATTCCCCACTATCCCCCTCAGCCCTGCTTGCCCTTCGGCTCCCTGGGGACAAATCCCAGTGCCAGGGGTCCAGGGAGGTCCCAGACTTCGCCACTGTGGGGCTGGCAGGGCTGCACTGGGGCTTTGCATCTCACCAGCTCTGTCTCTTTCTTCCCACGGCTTTCCGGGGACTCCCAGCATCGCTCCTGGGTAGGTGCCAGCTCTGTCCTCGGCTCTGAGCTCGCTCTGTGCCAGGGCAGGGGTGCAGGACTCTGCCCTGAGCCCAAGGGCCATGCAGCCCCAGGACAGGGGTGCCACCAGGGCTGACAGAGACCATCCTGTCCCACAGGTCACTCCCGCAGCATCCCCGACTCCTTCCTGGGCCGTGGTTATGACAGCTACGGTTACGGCTCCTTCGGTGAGTGCCTTGGGCTGTCCCCCCGTCCTTCACCCCCCTGCCCACGGGCCGTGCCCACCCTCTGCCCTCCTTGCAGGGAACGGCTCCTCCAGCAGCACCGAGGGTGTCACAGACAGCCTGGCCTCCACAGAAGTCTCCTACAGTTACGTGGGTGAGTTGTGGGGCGACTGGTGTGGCCGCAGCCCTGCAGAGCCACGTGCCCGGTGGTGTCCCAGCTCTGCCCCCCTCTGTCTCCGGGGCAGGTCCCGGGGCTGGCAGCCCCTCCGTGCAGCCCACAGCGGGGTCTCCATTGGCAGACACGTGTGGGGGAGCCCTGCTCCAGTAACTGTGGCTTTCCTTTGAAGGGCAGGAGCAGTTCAAGCGGCGCACACCCTCCGCCCTGACGAGGCCGCTGAGCATTCCCATGGGTAGATGCTGGTACTGGGCAGGGTTGGGCCAATCAAAGCAAAATCTGCCCAGCCCCAAGTTCATGCCCAGGGCACAGAGCACCCCAGCTCCCCTCCCTCAGAGCAAGGGCAGCACCAAGGGACTGCAGGGCAGGATGTTGTTTGCCTGTGCCCCAGCTGTCCCCAGTGTGGCAGAGCCCCGGGGGACGGGCGTGGGTGACATTCACCCACATTGGCACAGCCACCACGTCCCCCCTGGGCAGGGACAGCGCAGGGTCCGGGGGATTAGAGCCCGTCCCTGGTGAAAGTTGTCAGGGGAGCAGCCGAGTGGTTAATTGGGTGTGATTGGGGTCCCACGGGGTGGGTGCCGGGGTGGGCTGGGCCAGGGACTCCTCTGACGGCCCCGGCTGGGCCGCAGGGGAGCGGTCCCTGGAGAACGTGGCCGGCCGGCCCCGCCTGGACTCGCTCAGCTCCGTCGAGGAGGATGACTACGACACCCTGGCTGACATAGACTATGACAAGAACGTCATCCGCACCAAGGTGTGTCCCACCCCAGCCCCTGCTGCCCACTGCCCACTGCCCACTGCCCAGACAACCCCTCACCAGCCTCTCCTTCCAGAAATACCTGTGTGTGGCCGACCTGGCGCGCAAGGACAAGCGGGTGCTGCGGAAGAAGTACCAGATCTACTTCTGGTGAGCGGGGGGCAGTGGGGATGGGGGCATTGAGCAGTGTCCCGACCCGGGGCGGGCAGCAGGGACCCCCTGACACTCCCCTGCCTCTCACAGGAACATCGCCACCATCGCTGTCTTCTACGCCCTGCCTGTCATCCAGCTTGTCATCACCTACCAGACAGTAAGTGGGGCAGGTTGGCAGCAGCTGGGGCTCCTGGGAGCTCTGGGGGCTGCAGTCCTAAACTGTGCTCCCCAGCACAATGGGGACACTCCGAGGGGTCTCCCCAACCCTCACCCTGCCTGTGAATGCAGGTGGTGAACGTTACTGGCAACCAGGACATCTGTTACTACAACTTCCTGTGTGCCCACCCGCTGGGGAACCTCAGGTGGGTTCAGGGTGGCTGGGGGTGGGTGGCTGAGGGTCCCCTGTGCCCAGGGCTGTGCTGTGGCAGGGCCCCGAGGACAAGGGAGGGTCCACAGCACTCAGGTGTGGACTGGCCCCTCGCAGCGCCTTCAACAACATCCTCAGCAACCTGGGCTACATCCTGCTGGGTTTGCTCTTCCTGCTCATCATCCTGCAGCGCGAGATCAACTACAACCGGGCGCTCATGCGCAACGACACCCACGCCCTGGTAAGGGATGGGGGTCGCTGGGGTGTCCCGGGGGGGCTCAGCCCCCCATGAACCCCCTGCTTCCCCTGCCCTCCGCCCCAC